ATGTATATATGTATGTATGTATATATGTATGTATGTATGTATGTATATATATGTATGTATATATATATATGTATATATGTATGTATATATATATATATGTATATATGTATATATGTATGTATATATATATATACATACATATATACATATACATATATATAAATATATATAAGACTAAACAAAATGCAAGCCATCAGCATATCAAGGTCCTGCCTGTGCATTGTCAAAGACTGACAAAGTTAGTCCACAAACTGGGCTAGATATGAAATTTTGACCAATCTTATGTAAAAATTAAAATTAAACCAAATATCATTAGTTGTGGAAAAACGGATGCTATCAGAAAATTTTTTGTTATAGTTTGGAGAGTGGAAAAGGATACAATTTTCTATAATCTTAAAGATTTCAAGCACAAAAAGCATTCATTCGGTTATGGCATGCTCAAATTCAAGTCAGTTCATTCATACTGCATTCAGAAAGAAAGTCAATACGAGTAATTAAGTGGCATATAAATTGAAGAACCTAGAATTATCAGCCAAAATTTTCACTTATTTTCTTACAGGAAATTCATTGGACACTAGAAGATAAGAACGAGTAAAATCCATTATCCTTGTAACAATAGCTTAAATAGTAGGGCAGAACTAGAACTTGAATTCCAGATAATTGACAATTGAAGATAGAGAAGGTAGATGCATCAATAATATCAAATTCTATATATACAAAGACACCTACAAAAGGATTTTTCTGATTCCAGCCTATTTTGTTCAATCTAATGTTAATTCCCAGGAGAAAATCTTTTTTAGTAAGCTCCTTGTTAATACAATGTTTGAGGTTCATCTAATACATCTTGGCTGTTAAGGATGAAAATCAATAAAGCAGTCTTATAAATAGTTGGAAAATAAATAATTAGTTTTGGAAGTATGTGCTTTACAGTGCATCCAGAAAACAGATTACCTGTAAGAGATCCAGCAAATTTGATTGTTTTGTTTCAATTTCTAGGAGTTGCTGTTTGATGGCAGCCAGTCCATTTGCAGCATGCACACAACATCCATGCATACTGCGTGAACACAAATCTGAAATAGTGGACTCCGGACTCTTCCGCTCCTGGGTACCAAGGCATTCTCGTCCATTGTCCTCAATGGCAGAATGATTATTTCTTGTTGGACTTATTGAATCATTGCCCTCAGAATCATTCTCCCCATCACAGTCATGAGATACAGTTAAATGCTCCATCTCATAGATCCGATAATCTGGAACGGATACGGAAGAGCATTCTGTCTTATCAAACACAGAACCATAATCAAAGTTGATATTTTGGAGTTCAGCAGTATTTAGCATCCTTCTTTCTAAAAGATCTATTACATTACTGTCAGACTTTACACTATTGCTATTAACCAATGGTGTACCATGAGTCTTGGGGACTGACATCGCAATGTGCCAATCGTTTGACTTCATACGTTGATGACTCTGCATATTAGTTGTACATGGTTTCCTGACAGATAGAGGAGCTCTTTTTTGTGTTGAACTGGTGGAATTTCCACATAAGTCAGAAACAGGACCATTTTTTCTAGACAATGTGTCTCTCCATCGACTATTGCATACACCGGTGACTACATTAATGTCTTTGCCAAAATTTTCTGAAATGTCAACATAGAAGACTATTATCATCAACAATAGTATGATAATACAAACATTGTTCTATAAAAGGGGTGATGTCGAATCATAAATCTACTAGAACAGCAGAACTATAGAAATAGCTGGTAGAGGTATCATGTAATCGAAAATGGGTGACAAGAAATTAATTTAGACATGTAGAATCCTCACATTAAGTATATAATCAGATCATAAACATAAAACTTCCTCTAATGTTTAAAAACCATAATTTCTGAGATGAGGAATTAAATATCTTTTTGGCTTCATCCACTTCAAAATTAATTTAATCTAGACAGGTCCCGAAAGAAGCACATGGTGTCAGTATACTGTGCAAAGAGAAAGGAGATTTCAACTAATTAATGCAGCTGTTGAAAAGTGTGCACATTAATAAGCTCAAGCAAGGAAAAGCAGCTATATAATGTCGCATCACAAGCATTCTTCGATCATTTTCCCAGAAACAGTTATACCTTTTGTGGATGATCCAGCCTCTGAAGTTTCAGAAGAATGGGTCACTGGGAGAGCTCTCCAACACTGTATGGCATGCATGATTGAATCCCGCGCAGGTTTCACCTACAAAAGAAAAGTTTGGAGACATGTCTACAAAACTGACATTCAGATAACAAGAAACTATAGCATGAACTGACTTTGTCAAATCTGCAGGATTCAAGGAAGTGGAGGCAAGAACTTCTCAGAGGAGCCAAAGAAGATCCAGGGTTGACGGCGATTCCAGCCAATGCCACAGAAGCAGCTTTGCGTGTTGTCCAATCATTACTTTTAAGAGCTTCCAAAATGCTCGTAACTGCAGCAGATAAAGTATGCTCTGCTAAAGCACATCCTGCCTGGTTATATGAGTTAGAAATGTGATGTAAAATTTAAATAACAGGGTAATAAAAAGATTCAACCAAATTTTCATTGCTTTGTTATTTTCTTGAGAAGACAAAAAATATTTGTCAAACAAGGTATTCAGCATAATAAACTTGTGGACAGTAAGGCAAGAGATTCGAATGATAAGAGCTACATATGCTGCTTTACATAGCCACCATATGACTTTATCCCCTTATGTCAAAGTGACTATTTAAGTTGGAAAATATATACTGCTAGCATGCACCTATTAACAATCCATCTTATGAATGATCAAATATCTGTATCGTTAGAACAAGTAAGATGATTCCCGGCAACTGGTAAACTATCACAAGTCTGTTAGAATGCACCAGGATAATCACAAGATAATGCAAATTATGATTATATTATGTTAAGGAGAAATTTACGATTTCCCAGATCAAGCTACATCTAGAAAAATAGAGAACAAGAGACCGACCTCCAATGGAACCTTCTCCTCCTATTCTAATCTTGATCTTACCATCTTACAGAATGAAATGGGATTAAAGAAATGTGCATGATTGAAAATGAAATTAAAAATAACAAGCTGCAAACTACGACAAGAAGGTTAGTGAACGAGAGAGACTTCCATTGGAACCAACAAAATTATATGCTTTTACATCCTTCTCCTCCTAATCTAGACTTCACATCACCATCTTCCAGGAATGAATGGGATATTACTACTTGGGTAGCCAATGATGGTAAAATGCGAGCTAGAGATGCTGTTTTGACAACTAGACCACATTCAAGACATGTACCAAAAGTAAAATGAAAACGACCTGCAAGCTAAAGGTACCAAGTTAAACCTGTATGATGCTTCTGATCAACTCAATGATCGCCGGCTTAGCCATGAAATGCTGATTCTTCAGCAGCTTTATGACACGCGTGAGCATCTGTGGCAAGATGTTCTGCGGAGCATCACTGGCCTCATCGATGACCCTCGCTAAGCAGTGCGCCGCACCCACCTGCACGTATCGGTTCTGCTCACCCAAAGCTTCGAAAAGGGGCTTGGCCAATGCAACGAACGTTGCCCCTCCGCCGCCTTCCCCGCCTCTAATGCTGGTCGCCAAAACGCCGCACGCCTCGACGCAGGCGTCACGGACGACGGAATCCGTGTCCTTGAGGCGCTTGACGATGGAACCGACCACCTTGCCGAGATAGGGAGCCAAGAGGATCCTATGGGACCTCGCCAGGGTACCCATCAGTCGGACACACTCCGCGCGGACGGCGCTCTTCTGCTCGGCATTGGTCTCGGTGACGCACGACAGGAAAGGAGCGATCATGTCGGGGGTCAACCTCAAAGCGGCCTTCTCGAGCTCTTCCACGCCGATATTGTACGTGTCGCGGTCGGCGAGCTTGTTCAGCAAGAGGATCACCCGTTGCTTCATCTCGAAGACGGCCTGCTGCGGCACGGCCGCCTTTCCGCCCGATCTGGCCTTGGAATGCGCCACGACGCGGGGCTTCATCGCCGGTCTCGACCCAACTTCCAATCTGCTATTATCTGCAATCCTGACGCTAAACCTTAGCCTCGGGGGTTTGCTATACGGACCCCTCCGGGGATTCCAGCGAGAAGGGAATGCGGAGAGGCCATAGCGGCGATCGGCCTCTTGATCGAAAAGGAGAGAATTTCTTCCATGGTTTTATTCCGCTAGGGTTGAAAAGGATCAAAGAAAGCGAGAAATAAAGAGGAAGAAAGAGACATCAACCATCTTTATTCAGCAAAGGCAAAAAAAGACGAGATAAAGAAGAGAAACATAGTGAGGAGTGGAAGATACAGAGAGATGAACTCCACAACTCCAGAGAGAGAGAGAGGGTAGTGATGGAGATGGAAGAAGAAGAAGAAGAAGAAGAAGAAGAAGAATAGAGATGAGAGAGAGAGAGAGGATTAGAATTCGAATTGGCTCTTGTAAAGAGAGGCACAGACATCAAGGGAAGACGGAAGCTTGGAAGGGATGAGAGGAGAGAGAAGTCCAGAGAGATAACGAGAGCAGGGATTACTGACGGATGAGTTTAAAATACCCACATTTATTACCTATATTTATATTGGCCGGAAAAGTATTGTTTCAATGGAACGCATCGTGGGGCCGGCGGTAGTCTACGGGTAACGACCATACTAGTAGAAAAAAGTATTCTTTTCCTTACCTTCGCGCTTCTGGGCTGGTGCGATTCGAAATTCCGAACCCGCCTCTAGCGTGCGCGACGGCATAGACAACCAATCACACTCCCTATTTAGTTGGATCCCACTCCGAGTGACCACGTGGCACTCTTTATATGGAAGGAATTGATGTTCTGAGTTTTGAGTTTTGCGTTCTTTAGGTGGACAAAGTTTGAATCTTTTGGATTCGACCGAGCTCGAGGCTACAAGAATTTAGGGTTTTTTGGTCACATAATTGTACGTACTCGTTAATTAATTCGTATCTCCGTATGCTGGCAAAAACTATTATTGGAAAAAAAAATACATATTGTATGTGGGAAAAAAAGAATAATTAATATAAAAAATTAAAACATAACATTTATGACGCTCTAATTTCGCTAGTTCATTTTTAAATAAATTACTTACATTTATAATTCTTAGCATATGCATTGATAATTCTTATCATAATTTTTTTTAAAGTAATGTTTGAGTCATGAAAATATTCTCTTTATATTTAGATATAAATATAAAAAATGAAGGTGAGAGTATGATCAGATGTTCAATTATCTTTCCATTTTTCTCTAAGAAATGAGAGAGAAAAAAAGTTGACTGTGTAGTAATGAGAATGCACCAACATGAGAAGTGTCAAAACTGGTATCCATTTCTGCTACTGGTACAGAACACATCCACCACCTCAAGCCACCAAGAAGAAGAAGAAGAAGAAGAAGAAGAAGTCAGAGGAAGCACATAAACACAGAGAGAAAGCCATGGTCAATTTTGTTGGGGGAGAAGAAGGTTTGTGCATCATCATCATCATCCCTCACCCGCACCGCTTCCTTCCTCTGCCGCTCATCTGCACACTGGTTTTGGTGGGAGGTGGGAGCTGGCGAGCTCAGCCTCCGCGGAGCAGTAGCAGAGCCCCTCCTTGTTCTTCTCCACCACCTTCAGTATGCTCTCGAACACGGCCACCTCGCATGGGATCCGCAGCACGCCTTCCTGCTGGAACCCGAACTCCTCCTCTGCTTCCCTCAGCAGCGCCGCGAAGGCCCTGTGGCCGAGGTACTCCGTGGGGATCACGAACCTCCGCATCTCCTCCCCGACGCACACCGCCAGGTATCCCTTCGGGACGTCCCCCGACGCGTCGGTGAAGGAGAGGGTCCTCTTCAGGAACTTGATGCTCTTGCTGCCACCGCCGCTCTTCGGCGTCACCGCCAGCTTCTTCCACTTCTTCAGGATCTGTTGGAGCCTCACTATCTCCGTGATCTTGTTGGACTTCTTGGAATCCATGGAAGCCTCCGTGGGTGATGGCCACTACGCTGCGAGTATTTAAAGGGGTTTGGGGTCATCTTCTTCGACTATTATATGCTCTCGAAGACAGATCTTTATATTGCTTCGTGTACTATGCATCAGAAATCAAGTGTTCTTGAGTTCTGTGGGTTTGCATGTCAGGACCACAGATTAGTTACTGCATCACGCCGTGGGTCGACTGCAAGCAGAAGTACGACAAGCATGTTATCTTCGCGCAGTTCGATCGATGTGATGCTGCTATCTGCTTTGCTCGAGCTTCAAGTTTAAGGTGTGCGTGACCTCTTTGTACGACCGGCCATTGGAGCTTTTTCTAACGGAGTTGGGTTCTCGGAAGAACATGGGAGAGGTGGGTGGAGATCAGAGCCCATGTGAGGTCTTCCAATATTATACCAACTGCAAGAAGCATTTGGTTTCACCATTGTTTACTAGAACACCTGCTCTACTCATCCTGAGATCGAGGATCTCAAGGTTCTCATTCGAACTCCGACTACCGTCCAAATCTGAGGATCCAAAGTACCTCCTTCCATTTCGAATCTTCTTCCAACTCTGCATCATGTTCTTGTTTCCCAGCTTGGAAGCTCTCTAGTTTGTCTATCTCCTTGATGCAACTTGAATTAGATTAACGACAACCGGGGGGGCATTCCTTGGTCAAATCTCATAGAAGAGCAGGTTCCTAACAATGTCAACTACAACAATTCTACAAGAGCACCTCCTTAGTGGAAGATCCATCAGCAAGTCATGTGAAGCTATCTCTCAGCAGCAATGTGCCATTTGTAGACCACTTGCATGCACATGACACACTCCTTGATCAAATCAAATGATTAGAGCAAGTTTCAGTCTTCTTCTTTACTTGACACAGCTCCCACACAAGCTGGTGATCCTGAATTAAACATGGAATCAAGGTAGCTTGTTCTGTTTCTTGGAAGCAAAAGAAGACACTTAGTTTACATTCTTCAAAGCTGCATCAGTGGAAGTAAGCAGTGAGTGGTTACTTCAGTTGGGGACAGTTCTTCAAACCCTATGACCGTCCTCTTGTCCCTCTCTAATTGACTGCAATATTAATTTTGGGAGATTGAGCTGCATTAGCTTTTCAAGGAGATCGAGTCTCCTCTTCTCATTCAATTCAAGTTCTGTGTTCACTTTGTTTGGCATCTTCATTGACCTTATGAGCTAAAGATGGAGTGAAGAACCAGTGATGTCTCATTGAAAGATCTAATGATCATTGAAAGTGCTCTCATGCTACTTAAATACTTCATGGATTTGCTTTCTATTTCTGATGACCAATCTTATTGCTGCTGCCTACTTTCACACACAGAGGAGATCAAGATTTGCCTGCTGTGAGAGATAACATGATGGTAGCAGCTGAAGCTGTCTTCTTCTTCATTTATGAGGGAAACAAGAACTCCATTGTTGTCTCTTCCATCTCAATGCTCATCCTATAAACTTCAATGTTCATGAACCAATCCATATCCTACTACCAATCTCCACTCAATTCTCATGACCATTTCCTGGGCATCAATTTCCCTTTCTCCCCAGCCATGTAAGTAGACCATATTTCTCCATTTACCTGAAAACTTACTTGCTTGCAAGGAAGAGATTATTATTATTATTGTTTCCCCACAGTACCAATGAATGATTTTAACTATGAAGAATTCAGAGGCTGCAATTAATGAAATCTCAGAAGGTGTACGCCCTAAATCAAGTCAAACTTTGTTTGTGGAAGGGAAAGTTGAAGGATTCAGAGCATGCAGATAATCAACTATCAAGGGATGAATACTGTTAGGTCAACGGTTGCGTTGACCAAAGCCTTTGATGGCTCTTACAATTGTAATGTTAGACTGTCATATGCCATGCCTTAAGAAGGTGATGATGAGGTTGTAATGTTCCCCAATAGATTAAAGCCATCATAACATTATTGACTTGAAGATTTTTGGAGTATGCAACAACAATTCAAGAGGTTAAAAGGAATGAAGCATGCAATTGTTTTGAAAATTAGAATTTCCTTGAAGATTTTTGGAGTATTTTATGAACAAATAATTATAAAAATAAAAAATAGATACTCTAATCACTTTTTGTGATAATTATATATATAATACTTAAATAATAAAATAATAAAATTATTTTTTTACGACCTAAAGGATTCAATGTCATTGAAATAATCACTTTTATCATATATTAAATACTTCTTCGAATATAAGATGATAAATAACAAATAATCGACCTAAAAATATGTTTTCTAATATTATTGGATTTCAGCTACATTTCGGATTTTTATGAAATGTCTTAATTTCCTTCGAATTATGGATAACTCTTTTGATATAATTCGTCCCGAAAAGATAATATAGAAAAGAGGAATGGGGTAAAATAATATCATGATTATATTATTTATCTGGATCTCTATTAGTTATATTAGACTTTTGTTTCTTCTAATGTTTGAAATAAGGTTTTCAAGCATAAGTTAGTCAACATCCATCAACTACCATCTTGCCCACCTAACAATCTAATGCCTCATTGTCCCACGATCTTATCGCTTGAACTATATGCATCCTATCGTTGATCATCTTTGTTTCTATTGTTCTTTGAATGTGACATTAATTAGTAATCTACTCACAAATAAATAAATATCTAAATGAGTCAAAATTGGATTATTAGTCTTCTCCACCACCACTTTACTTCTATCCATGATTTTATTCTCTATCTCAATTGCAATTGGAAGTCACAATTATACATCGAGCTTTTCTTTTATGTGAACATTACAACTAAAATTTCTCTATAAATTGACCCAATTTCAAATTTAAATATTCCCTAATTTATCATCCAATACATATAAATCTTATCATATCAAAATTCAAAATTGAGTTGGGTCATATATTTTTTTTGTACGAACTCATCTCAAACCTAATTAAAAATGACCTAATTCAATTTTAATATGTCGAATTAATGCAGATATTCCAAAAATATAATATTTTATTTTTGTCACTTTTAAATTATATATATATATATATATATATATATATATATATATATATCTTGGAGCTAAATCATTGACCGTATAAATAAGAATTAATCGAATTATATAATTATAAAAAATACTAACAAAAGTATATGTATAAACTATACAATAATAAGAATGTTTAAGCTGAGTTTATTGCAGCGATGCTAATATATATATATATATATATATATATAGAGGGCTGAGGTGTCGTCTTCTGGTTGGTTGCCGCCGCCGCAGACATGGTGGACCCGGTCAACTCAAGACCGCATCGTACCATTCCGGTCGTATACGCGTACGTGGAATTACTGTCGATATCTGTCTTCGGCGGATGCTACACAAATACGCGCATCCATTGCCAGAAAAGCAGCACACAAAAAGAGACGGTTTCTCCGACAACACACGCAACACAAAGCCGCTCTCTTCTGAGAGAGAGAGAGAGAGGAGGTGCGAGAGAGCTACGACTGCTTCCTTCTTGACCTTTCCGCGAGAGAGCTGTCGAAGGGAGCGAACGAGGAGGAGGAGAAAGAGAAGTTACTCGTCAGAAAAGGAAAGAGAAAGAGAGGGTTCTCGATCTACACATATTGAAGTAGTTCTTTCAAGTCTCCCCTGCGCTTTCGTCTCCGTAGATCTCTTCGTCGGCCCGGGCCACCTCTTTTCGCTTTGGAGGTACTTGCTCTCCTCTTCGATTAAAGATCCGATCTTTGGCTGCTTTTGGTACGATTCTTCCTCCGAATCGGCTTGGTTTTTGCTCTTACTGCCGTTTCTTTTCGATCCGGAGGAAAAAACAATTGGGTTTTGGGACTTTCCGGTGGCTCGATAGCTGGATTTGGTTTGATTTCGTTGATCGATGTCGGTGGGGTTTCTTCTGTCGCACGGCTGGTGTAGGTTGTCGAATCCGTTCTAGAAGTAATGAGTTGGCCCGTTCGGTTAACAACAATCCTGGATTTGTCTTCCCCAGAGAACTAAGTCAATTTAGTTAATTTCCTTTTGACCATGATTTATTTGGATTTGACTCTTTTGTTATCCTTATTCTTTTCTCGAACTGAGTTGACATAACGTGAGATAAAAAGGCAAAATTCCAGCGGATTTTTGTCTTGAAATGTAAAGAATTTGAGAGGATCATAGGGAAAATATCTTCTTTCATGTTTTTTTGCATGTCTTCTAACTACCACACCAGGTTGGCTTGTGTGTAGAAGGGGCATTACGAGGACATGAGTCGTCTAGCTATATAGGATTCGTGGTATTCATTCTTTCTTCACCAAAAATAGAGTGGGGGAAACTGGTTGGTATATATGTACTGTGTTTTGAGCAATGTTTGTGCTTTAACCTTTAAACAAGTTGGTATTTAGACTTTGAATCTGGTTTTAATCAATGATTTTGACGCTCTAACATGAAATGTATATGTTCTTCTTAGCAGTTGGATCGTAATTTGGTTGAGGGAACTTTCAGCCTTGGGTTGTCCATAATCGTTGAGGTATACAAGTCTGGTTGCGGGAGCTGATGATAAAGAAGGCATAATGTCGTAACAAGAAGAGGAAGATGAAAATGCCTCATGCATGGTATTTAGGCAATGGGAATGTGCAGATCATGCCGGTTCAACGACACAGACCAACTTCAAGGAGGCCTCATTGGATCATCATCTTGATATGTTTGGTGTGTGTCTCTTTGATTGGGGCATATGTCTATCCACCTCACCGATATTCAGCTTGCTACATTTTTGCTTCAAGCATTTGTAGTCCTTTTACGGATTGGGTACCTCCTGTAGCCCATGTTCTTACCGATGATGAGTTTGCTTCCCATGTTTTGATTAACGACATTCTTTCTGCGCCATATAAAGAGCCGAAGAATCCAAAAATAGCTTTCATGTTCTTGACTCCTGGTTCACTGCCTTTCGAGAAGCTCTGGGAGAAATTCTTTTTGGTAAGTCTCTAATTTGACCACTTTCTTTTCCCATGAATTGAAATGTTTCTGTTACAATTAGTTTATCACCTTTATTCTACATTGCGAGGGCATTCAGAAACTTTTACTTGGTTGTTACCAATTTTGTTGTCCTTTGATATGCTACCTGCTTATTCCTGAATACACACATAAGATCATTTTGTAAACTATGTTGAAAAACATGAAATCTCTTGTTATGAGTTTTCTGCAGGTTAAATAATGCAAATGGTCTTCATATTCAGAAGAGACCTGTTGAACCTTACATTAAAACTTAACTTATCAAGGAAACACATGAATGCTAATAATTTATCACAGCAATGTACCTTTAATAGTCTTTCACTGGGAGCCAAATGATTGTTATAGAGCAACTCAAGATTTCCAGCAAGTAAAAATGGTCAAGACAAATGCATTGATGTAACAATGAAATTTAGTTGAAAACATTTGAGACATCATAAACCATGTGTCACGTCATGTGTTTGTCTTTTTGAATTGGGTTCACACTCATTTAGTCATTAGTTAGACTAATATCCACTAGTTTGTTCATTAATTACACTGATATTATCTCATTTACTGGAATAGTTGTTTAATGATTTGATAAAATTGTATACAACTAATACTTACAATTCAGTGAACGTCAGAAAACTCAGTTAGTGTTAGTTGCGTCATCGTTTCTTAAATTGACTGAATGCCTAGAATTGTTTGAAGTGTCCAAGTGTCTGGCATGATAAAAACCAAAAGGTGAAGTCCCCAGGTAATACTGGACAATATCATTCGAAGGTTTGATGTCAAAGTTTCTAGCTTCTGTTTGCTCACACATGAAAGTTATTCATGTTGTCTTTGTCCATCTCATCCATGAAAAAATTATGGTTTTGTAGTGTATCCCTTTTCTGAAGTTTCATTCTTGTATCATCTTAATTCTTTTTTGCAATGTTTTAGGTACATTTGTATTTTTCTTTCCTATTTCAAACTACTTTCTGTTAGACTGTTTACCATTTTGCCTTACAACTTTTTTCTAATCAGTTTTTGCCCTCATCTTTTGGCAAACTTATGGACCGTACTCTAATATGTATAAAGCCTCACATTCAATTATGGGTGGTTGGTTTCAACGACTTAGACTGAAGGGTGACGACTGTTTGTTCTGCCTGGGCCTTGGTTAAGCCTAGACCTTAACCAGCCTGCATAAAATAGCATCTCCTGACTGTTCGATACAAATTTCTTTCTTTTAGGGAAGTGCTAGGAGATTTAGATTTTTTGAAAATCACTAAGAAGCTCATCTGTGACTCACATTCTTTGATTAGTTTCTAGAAAGAATGCGGGAAGAAAACCACCATGTTTATATTTATGAATATGATAGTAAATACGAAACAATTATGTAGTCATGCCAAGTCTTGATAGTGGACATCCCAGGAGATTGGAAATAAATCTAAAGTCTTACTCAGCTACTCGCATTCCAACATTTCTCATCTTGCTTAATATGATCTCCAAACTCCACTTCATCTTTGAGAAAGGCAACCATCTGAAACAAACCCTTCATTTGGAACTTATGAATATTCCAGAAAGTTACTAAATATATAGGCACCTAGTTGGCGCACTACTATCATTTATCATTATAAAATAGTACACTGTCTGCCTAGGACACTTTTGATTTGAACAAGGAATTTTCTTCATGCGGTGGCTGTTCTGATTCGGACCAGAAGATTGTTTAACAATGAAATGCAACTAAGTTACTTCACTAGTTGTCAAAATACAGAGTTTTATTCAACTTTTAGACTGAAGCATGTGCTTAAATCTTTATTTACAGGGCCATGAGGGGAGATTCTCCATCTATGTACATGCATCACGAGAGAAGCCAGATCATGTTAGTCCTTTGTTTGTTGGCCGGGACATTCAAAGTGGGAAGGTACTTGAAATCCTCTCTTCTCCTGGACTGATACATGTTATTGATGGCCTACACTATAAAACAATAAAAAGGAATGTCTTTGATATCATTTGTGCTTCAACTGTAAATAGTACATAGGTACATTTACTGCCTATAGAACATTTTAGAAATGTTCATGAGGTAATTGCAAGTCAAGAGCAATGTTGCCAGCCTGTGTTTATGCTTATGTGAAACTAATGGTCAAACGAAAGGTATCTACTTTGACTCAAAAGAGAATAAAAATAATGTTTCTACATGTAGGTTGTGTGGGGAAAGATTTCTATGGTCGATGCAGAGAGGAGACTCCTAGCAAATGCACTCCAAGATCCTGATAATCAGCATTTTGTTTTGCTCTCTGACAGGTATTGAACTTTTGTGTTTGAATGTCCTTGCCCTGTTTATCATACCAATATAAAGGACACTCATGTTTCTTGTATGACAGCTGTGTTCCCCTGCATAACTTTGACTATGTCTACAACTATCTTATGGGAACAAATGTCAGTTTTATTGACTGGTAATGTCATCATCAAGTTTTCCCTAACACCTGTTCTGCTTTCTTTCATTTTGGGCTATTTGTTATGTCAAGAAGATGTTGCCAATTCTGGCAACTCTTCTAAACAGCTGTTCTTTTTTCCTTAAATATTACATAACATATTTCTTCTTTCACAAGATCTTTGACTGATCATTAACAAACTGATTCCCAACCTTGTTGCTACCTGTTTTTGCCAGCTTCTGGGATCCTGGCCCACATGGAAATGCCAGGTACACCGAGCATATGTTGCCTGAGATTGAAGAGAAGGACTTCAGGAAGGGTTCACAGGTGCTCACTTTTTCCTTTATTTAATTGCCACTAGAAATTTTATTATCCATATTGTGCAGAAAAGGACAAAGCTTGCTTGTCAAAAAAAGCTACCAGCGTGCTATCCACTCTGAGCTTTATTCCTGGCGTTAGCTCAAAAGTATGAAATATCATATAGTCTCCCAAAATCTTGATTTTATGTAGGTGTCCCTTCTAAACCTCAAAATTTGTTGGTCTCTGAGATTAGCTGCCACCTCAAGTTAGCCCATATGTGAAATGGGTTAATTCAGTTTAATCAGGGACGGGATGGGTACTGGGAATTGTTAGGGGTCCAGGTGGGTTTGAGTTAGGTTTGAGCATGTTCTGTTAATGTCCTTGGATCTGTTCCATTTCGAAAGTCCTTGTACAATTGATAATGGCCTGAGTGAGGTGGGTGAGAGGGCTAGAGAGAGAGAGAGAGAGAGGACTGAAGAGCGTCGGTTTACCTTGGATGGGGATTGGAAGAGAGTGAAGAGATAGGATTAAGCTTGAGAGAACGAGGAGATGGATGAATGTGAGGGTTGAAGTTCAACTTGGGTGGGTCGAGTATTGGGAAGGAGAAAAGAGAGGTTAGCTCAGGTTGGAGTTTGGGAGAGAGAAGAAGAAGGAAAGCCTTTAGATTATTATATTGGTAAATATAAATTGCATTTTGTTATGTAGCATGTTTTCTAAAGTACCTGTGACATTTAGATTCTTGTATGTGATGCAGTGGTTCTCAATGAAGCGGCGACATGCTTTAATAGTGCTGGCAGACAGCCTTTACTATACAAAATTCAAGCTCTATTGCAAGGTGAACACATACCTGCTCATCCTTCTTTAATTCTTGATGCATAAAGCATGTGTGTAGAAGATTCAGGTGATATCTATAAACAGAAGATATGGGGTTTTACTTGCCTAATTGATTCAAAAGAATTTGCTGTAACCTGAGGTTATTGATACATGTAGTTATTGATACTTGTTAAGTGCTAAATCAGCATCACTGATAGACAATAATTTACCAAAATTTTAAAAAGAAGAAAGAAGGGAAATGAGGCTGATACAGATTGGAGGCACAGCTCTTCAAACAACCTCAAAAGGGTAAAATGAGGCGAAGTACAGAAATATAAAAAAACCTAAACTTCTTGTTCTCCTTTACATCTTTAGTTCGGCTAATTTGCTTTCATGTGATAGAGCTTTGTACACTTCTGATAATGAACTGAATTATAGCTTCTTGCTTGTCTTTTGTGAACCTATGCAACGAGCTATGTTCTGTTTATTCTCCTTTGCTATGAAAGCATTTTGATATTCTCATTAATATGTTTCATTTTCCCAAGTTTCAAACTGCCTTTTGAAGTAAATATAAATTCAACTAACTATTATAAATTTTTATGATAGGCAGATTAAGTGATAATATTCATTAACTTATTGTCATTGCCATGACATTGCCAATGGCTGCTCCCCCAGATTGATCAACCAGCAATACTGATTGCTATTTTTGCCCATTTCTTGACCTCAGCCAGGTTTTGATAGTCGCAACTGCTATGCTGATGAACACTATCTTCCAACTCTATTGAGTGTAAGTACATTAGATCATTTTGCATTTTGGCTTTCTTGAGTGATAGCTTATCTGGGAATTTAATAGTATCACTAACCAGACAGGACATTTCGACATCCTGCAGATGGTGGATCCTACCGGAATTGCCAATTGGTCGGTAACGCATGTTGATTGGTCTGAAGGAAAGTGGCATCCAAAAGCATATCGAGCACAAGATGTCACTTTTGAGATCCTGAAGAACATTTCAGTAAGCATTCTCTCTTTCAAAAATTCATACTTTAGAATGTCCAGATGCCTCTAAATTCTTATTGGCTGATATGGGTTTTGTTGACAGTCTATTGATGAGAGTTACCATGTCACCAGTGATGAAAAGGTAAATCTTTTAGAACTTGTGTTCATATATGCTGATTCTTTCCTTTTTCTGGTTCAACTATTCCTGATTTCCTTTCTTTATAGTTGTCATCACCGAAAGCACATCAGATTAGGCAAAAGTAACTTAATCTTTGCAAGCTGACTGCCAAGTTCTATAGTTTTTCTTTTCCTCTGAGTTACTTAAGTGTATTCATGTGCTTAGGTTGAATGAAGCATATAATAGGAAATTGGAACATGTTGCAGATATCCATCTAAAATTCTTGCATTTTTGTCATAGATAGTGGTAAGTGGTAGGACTTTGCAAGAAAATGCTTGTTCTACATGTCTATGTCAACCATAACCTTTAAAACACTATGCAATCATATAGAGTAGCACGATACATTCGTGCGGCACAGAAAAAATATGGAGGGATTGATGACCTACAATCTGAGCCTTCAGAGAAGCAAATAAAAAAATATGCAGATGGATGAAATAGAATTACTCAATTACAAGCCGGTATGACTTGTAAGAAAATAATGTCATCTGTCCAAAGAAGTCAAAAATAATGTCACCAAAAGCATCAATTTTCATTTTTGTTTAGATAGTATTATTTGGTCCTTTACTATCTCTTACCCATTATGCAAATTCTGCATACTAAAAGATTAAGTCATGCTTAAAAATAACAACAACAATGGGTTACAAATCGTGACAAGCATGTATACTACGTTGGAATATCGAATAATTGTTCAAAGTGATCAACTATGCTGTGTTCCGAATACTGTTATTGTTGAAGCTATCAAATAATTGTTTAACTAATGCTGGTTAGTTCATGCCGAATCATAACTAATGCTACAAGAATTTCATTTTCTTTCCATGTTTGACTTGTATTCAACGTCACAAAGCTGCTATCTGTTTTCAGCTAACAATTATACAACACAATCTGGAAGAGAAACTAATCACTCAAACTTGAGTACACCAAATCTGCTATTTAACTGTCCTCCCAGTGTTTTATAATCAAAGACCAACCGCAGCAATAGTATTGGGTTCTTTTTTGTTCATATCAATCATGTATTTATTTATTTATTTATTTATTTTGCAGAAAGTGGTGACTGTGAAACCTTGTTTGTGGAATGGAATGAAGAGACCTTGCTACTTGTTTGCTAGGAAATTTTATCCTGAAGCTCTTCACAACCTGATGCAGTTGTTCTCTAATTACACCCTCATATGAGACACATCAGCATGAACACCATTGTTTGGTCTGGTTGTGCCTCCTGACATCACATTGTTGAGTCATTTGCTCCATGAAATCCCTGCCAATTCTTGAACTCAAGCCACCTCATGTAGCAGCAGAAGATTGTCGGAGGCAATCGGGATGACTTGAATCTATGTTTCTCTCTAAGTATGGATGAGGTGGATACTACTTTATTTGATGGTGCACTCCACCCAGTACTGGTCTTCTCTCTGTTTTGTGTTTTCCTGGTTATTTGATCTCTTGAGCAGCAAAATTTTGTTAGTCCATTTAACTTTATAGAGTGCTCAATTCTTTTGTAGAGAGAGAGAGAGAGAGAGAGAGAGAGAGAGAGAGAGATTATAAAACACTTTCTTTGTGAAGTCTTTATGGCAAATCTCTTATTTTTTTTTGAAAGAAAACTGAAGCACAAAAAGAAGTGAATAATTTGTTTAGCAGTTTCATAAAAAAATGTCATTAAAAAAACTTAAACAATAGAGAACAACTTAAAGTTCTGAACTTCTAAGATCTGATCTCAAACACATGCTATATGGTATATTGTGAACATAGTGAATAACAATTATTATCTAATGGATGTTAATATGTACAACAACATACATGCATTGTTATGATGTATGAATCAAATGTAACGTTCAATATCACATTAAAATCTGACATAATTTCTACATCATGCATAAAAATGATATAATAATGTTTCAAATAATAAAAGTCTATCTATTGTGAGGAGGAAGAACAACTTCATGGCTTGCTCACTCTTCTTGGGCTCTCTCACAGGATAATTGTTATCAAAATTAGTTGCCCGTGAGGTTTAGAGAGAGAGAGAGAGAGATTATCTTCTTCTCCTTTGCTATAAAAATTATATATATATATATATATGTATATATATATTATTGGTGAGAATTCTGAAAACATTTTATGCTAATTATTAAATCATTATAGAGATCATTTTTTCGCTAAATACTGAAGACAGCATTTTATTGTGTTTGTAATGAATAAGCACACCGCAACCTTTTCTCTTTCCCGTACGACTACTCAGCACGTGAATCGCACATGTTTCGGATCCGTTTCGAGTCGGTGTCGCATCTCACATGCTTCGGATCCGCTTCACTTGAAGATCCGATTCCAGTTGAACTAAACGCGGCCTATATATACATATATCCCCCGTCTCCCCCCTCCCACTCCCGCTCTCGCTCTCTCTTCTCCGATCTCTCTCCCTCTCTCCGTGTTTGGCTTCGCCGTCCGCGGTCAATCCTCCTCTGTGCCCTCCTCTCTCTCTATCTCTCTTCGGGCGAAGATGAAGCGGCCGGTGAAGTTCAACGCCGACCCTAGGGCACGGCGCACCGCGTTCAAGAAGAGGAGAGCCTGCTTCCTCAAGAAGGCCTATGAGCTCTCCACCCTCACCGCCACCGACGTCGCCGCCATCTCCTTCGCTCCACATGATGCACCTCCCGGCGCTGTCCCCGACCTCCTCACCTGGCCTCAGGACCGGAAAGAGGTGGTCCGCATTATCCGCCGCCTCCCTAAGTACGGCGACGGCGCCGGTCCCGGCATCAATAAAACGCCGAAAATCAAGCCCCCGGAGGAGGTTGCCGTCGACCAGGCGTGGGACGACGAGGGGGCGCTTTGGACCATCGTGAGGTCCCTGCTGGAACCAGAGATCCTGGCCCTGAGAAATAGCGGAACTAAGTTACCGGAGGAACCGGAGTGCTCGAGCTCCCATCACATCCTAGGGCTTCAAGATCCTCTTCCTCCTCCTCCTCCTCTCGCGGCGGCGATCGTCGACGATGCCTCCGACCCCACTGCCATGAGGATTCACGAGCTCCTGAGTATGCCCGATACCTTCTACGGGAACGATGAGGCCTCCTTCGCTGAGTTGCTGCACCTGATGCAACAAGAGTAGACCAGCAACATCTGCGATAACTTCTTCAGCTACAAGGAAAATGGGTATTTTTTTTCTTTTTATTGTGAAAAAGGTGGATACACAGTCAAAATCTGTCCTCTGATTCCACGAGCAATAAAATCAGCTTCTTTTCAAACAAAAATCGTGCAAAATTTTCCTGATAACATCTATTCAGCAACCAGAGTGCCAAATAGATGACTTGCATACACCATTGTTTCATACTTGTTCACCTCTCAGTACTTCTTTCCATTTAAATTAGCTCAAGAAATAATAAGATTTTCTTATGCATTTTGTCTTTCAGAAAAGAGTTACTTGACAGCAGTATCCAATTTTAGGCTTTTAGCCAATGATCTAACACTAGCGAGTTAAGAACTGCTTTCATATTTTTTATCCCTTCTCAATCAGTGCCATCTTGTGTTTCAAAGGGTCATAGAGGAACTCTCCATTGTTCATCTCCTTATAAGTACAATTATAAGAGATGAATTATCCTACTTTGCTTTGATCATATGTTTTAATTGTTTATTTTTGGGGTTTTAAGTATGCTGTCTGCAGTCCTATCACAATCACTTTTGCCTCGAGTGCAGGTATGTCTTTGGCAGGCATATTCATCTACCAAGTTAGCTGTTTTTAAATGTTTATGCTTGCCTTTACTCTGAACTATAACCTACATTGTCTTACATTATCTTGACATTTACTGTAGTTTAACAAGTATCATTTTCAGTTTAGGCTTTTATTCATGATTATTCAATTTTGGCACCTAATTCATGATTGTTACATTATCTTACTCTGTACTAATACATCCACGCCCCCATTTTTTCTATTGGACACCATGTCTCGTAGTCAGCCTTAACATCCTTAACTCATTGAACCTTGCCAAATTATTTCTCGATATAATATTGCCCATGCTAATGGATAAGGGAACCAAACATATGCTTTATTTCTCTGGCTGAACTTGCCAATTAATTAAGCATTATCATTCGAGTGCTGAACATTGACTTATAGTTTAATGAAAAGGATTAATGGAGGTAAAGTCCTATAATATTCATGTAAAAAATGAGACCATGGGAAAATGGAAAGCTTATTTGAATTCTCTGTAGCAATATGAATCAGTGAAATCTAAAAATGCTCTTTCTGAAGGATCATTTTTCCGGTGGTTTGGACTGACCATTGACTGATGCATCTCATCATCAAGACTCCCAGTTTCAAATTTTGGTGGTATTCTACAGTTGCAAAATTCATTTAAATATAGATCGACATAATATTTAGGAACTTTAAGACCAGAAGGGTGGATGAAGAACTCATTTATACATAATATCCTTATAAGTGCACTAATAAGGTGCATGAAACAGACTCGCATTATAATTTCTTCATTCAGATTGCTTATGATAGATAAATAGATGGGTTTCTTTATGCTAAGGCAAAACTGAGGCAATGCTTTCTGTGAAACCAAGTAATAGTTAAGTGTACTACCTCATTTCCGTTCTATACTATAGTAATTCCAGAGGAGTGTAACTGGGTTTATGTGATAAACTTGAAAAATATCCCGGGGATATAAATAAACAAACTGTTCTACTGTCATTGGTGTTTGCCAATGATAGGCTTTCAATCCCTTCCTTATCAGAACAAGTATAATTGTGCTGAGTGTTGGTTGCTAATGAAGAGTGATATTTGGAGCAGAGAAAATTGGCTCAACATGGTCTCCAAAGATCTTTACACGGTAGAGGTAACTGAGGCCAACCTTTTGATGTATTGGATCTTCTATTTATAATATGAAGAGATTTGTATGCATATCTTGAGTAACAATGAAGCTTATGTGTTGCAATAGAGATGCACTAAACTATTTCTTAAACATTAGTTCAAAATATCAACTTTATAGAGACATTAAAGAGCTTATTTATCCTATTTCACTCTGATCATATGGTTTAATTCTTTTAGGTTCCGAATATCATGTCTAAATGCTGGTATGTCTTTTTCGTATTCAATTACCAAAGATTACTATTTTGAATGTGTATGCTGGCTTTTATTCTGAACTATAACGTTTGTCTTAACATCATGTTTGCATTTCCTATAGTTTGACTAGTCTCATTTTCAATTTTAGGCTTTTCATGGTTGCTAATTTTTGGCATCTAGAATTAATAGTAGTAATTAAATTTAGTTAATGAAATTAACTGCAATAACATATATGTGTTAAGTATTTGTATTTCAAATTTAGAAGGGCTTATACAAAAATACCATCAATATTGCAAAAATCTGCACGCAATTTCCCAAATAAATAGAAACATAATTTAAACTTTTTAAATAAAATTAAGAAATCAAAAACTTACATCTGCAAAAAGGGAATTAATTTTTTGGATATTTTGTTCAATGAGTTTTTGAGAGGGATCAAAGGATCACACTGGAAGATGACATAATATAAAAAATAAGCAAAAAGTTATCAATCAAACTATTGACCTTCCAAATCTAATTTCATGAACAAAAACTTGAAAAAAGGGAATAGTTCAATTCAGATTGACTCTCATGAATCAAACTTGGCCAATCTACTATTACTGTTTTACTTGTGATTATTTGAGTATTATTGGAGTTATTGGAAAGAGTGGGAAAAAAAGGGAAAGATGATGGCCTCAACTTCAACTGTCCCTAGCATGCAGCCCTCCCTTGGCTGTGCTATCGTGGCCCTAGCGTGAACTCGCCGCAAATCCTGTTAATATTTACAGTAAAAAAAGTTACTTGTACAAACAAATGATTTGCATAACTAGAATGATGAATTTCCCGTATGCCATTTATATATATTGTTGTTCATGTTACCACCAATTCTTTTTCTTTCTCCTCTAACTATCAAAATGAATAACAAATTAACACTGTTTAGGATGTTGGTTTCATGTTGATTAGTTCTCACATTAGTTCTGTTCTTGTAGTTAATCTGTGTTTGTTCTGTTCTTCCCCTTTAATTAACTTCTGAATTCTATTATGATACAGTTTTTGTGTAATACATTTCTTTTATAACTTAATTTTTCTTTTACTCCTCAAATTTGTTCTAAGAAATGATTTTGCGTTGTTTTAGTTGCCTCTTCACCCGCAATGGCTTTGTTCACTCCATCAGGTCCTGTAATGCAGAAGGATATGCTGACTTCAAGCAATCGCTCAACGAGATGCCATCAAGCATCTATCTTTTCTCATTCAACCAGCAGTGTTGAGAAATTGCTCTTTCTCAGAGTACATCCTGTCTCCACCAATCTACTATGCAAACCATCATCTTTGACAAGACACCCTGAAGGAGGCCATTTTAGAATTATTACCCATGAGTGACAGCCAGTGCTATTTATTTGATTCTTAGAAGTTTTCAGCTTCATGTGGCAACAAGTTCTAGCTTGATGATGTCAGTGAATCTCAACAGTTTGTTCCAGATATTTTGAATGGAATATTTGAAATAGCAATTGAGATGGAAAAGATTGAGAAGAATTCACTGAGAAGCAATATGCTGGAGGGGTATCTTATGGTAACTCTGTTTGAGCCATCAACATCAACCAGACTTTCCTTTGAGCCAGCTATAAAAAGGCTAGGAGGATAAGTTTTTTATTACAGAAGAAGCACGTGAATTTTCTTTAGCCACGAGGAGAAACTCTCGAAGGTATGATCTTCATTATGGATAATTTTGTGGTGTCCAGAATTGTATAAGGAAGACTTAACGAGTGGAAAGCATGATTTGCAGATATAACTACAGTTGAAGGTTACACCGATATAATTGTTTTGAAACACTTCAAAAGTGGAGTTGCTAGATGGCAGCTTCTACAGCCAGTATTCTTTTTTATAAAAGCTGGGATGATCAAGGACATTCTTGGAATCATCAAATTTCAGAATTGGTACTGCAACTCAGCCCTGCCACTTGGACATATGAGTTATCCTATGCCTAATATGCATCTTTGACTATTTATGCTTGTTTCGATTCCTGGATTAGGTGCTTTATGAATAAAGACTAACGTTATTCAAGAAGGCTTGTTGTTTTGCTTCAGTCTTCTTGTTCTCCAATTCATCAAGTTTCCCTCAGTGTTCACAATTGGTGGGAAATTATGGTTTAACCAACTATGAAAATTCTTTACATGAATAATTTCTACTTATGTAATACTCTTTTAGGATCCTTCTGAATTCAAGAAATGCAGGTCTTCACCGAAGCAAATTGAAGGTCCTGATGGAAGAAATCTCCAGCTTCATTTCCGGACAAGACTATCCTTATCCCATTTTACTGGAGGAAAAGTAGAAGGGGAACAGGGAGCTGAAATTCATGTTGTGTTGATTGATGCAAACACTGGCCATGTTGTCACATCAGGACCTGAGTCATCTGCAAAACTAGAAGTTTTAGTCCTTGAGGGTGATTTTAACAATGAAGACAATGATGATTGGACAGAAGAAGAGTTTGACAGTCATGTAGTGAAAGAACGCGAAGGAAAAAGGCCTCTTTTGATTGGAGACTTATACGTCTCATGGAAAGAAGGTGTAGGAACCCTTGGAGAGCTCACATTTCCAGACAATTCTAGTTGGATACGGAGTAGGAAATTTAGGCTTGGACTGAAGATTGCTTCAGGTTTTTGTGATGGTATTCGAGTCCGTGAAGCGAAAACAGAAGCTTTCACTGTGAAGGACCACAGAGGGGAATGTAGGTCAGCTTTGCACTATCTTTGGTTTCTTTTTCTCCATTTACCTAAGTTTTCTTTCTGATGTTTATAGTGTACAAGAAACACTATCCACCTGAATTGAAAGATGAAGTCTGGAGATTGGAAAAGATTGGTAAGGATGGTTCATTCCACAAGAGGTTGAATAAATATGGACTCTTTACAGTTGAAGACTTTCTCAGACTTGTTGTTAGGGATCCCCAGAAACTCCGCAAGGTAAGTTTTTGGTTTTCTTGTTTGCTGTAATGAGTCTCTTATTACCTCCACTGTTTGTGGATCTAATTTACTTCACAATGTAGGTTCTTGGAAGTGGTATGTCCAAT